CCCCCCCTTCCTTCCCCCACCCGGCTCACGGATTCCCCGCTCTGAAGGGGCGAACATGCCACGAACCGCGGCGTAGAACATCCCCCCAAGTAAATTAGCACCGAAAAAAGCGGATAAGCAAACAATTTGGGATTTTTTGCACTTCCAATCGTAAGTGATATAACCCCAAGTCTATGCGTGGACTCGCAAGTGGCCCACATTTCCCTCTAAACGAGCAATTGTTCACTGCCCATACGTAGGAATAAAACTGCTACTTCTTAAGAAATCAAGTGGGTGGGGTAGCCTGTGCTTCATGAAACATCCTGGAACAAACCTTCAGGGTTCCCAGATCGGCCATCTTCTGGATGTCGTTACCACCCCAGAAGGCACCAGCCGGCACAAGAACACGGCGATATTTCGCCGCTGCCATCAATCGAATCGTCTCCAGAAGATCTGCATCAGCCAGGCACGTCGGCGAACCTATCTGAATCGTTTATGCTCAGGGGTTAAATCAAGCAATGGTCGATAAATCAATCAATAGCCCAAGAATCTTAAAATTCTATTTTTCGTCGGAACTCTGCCTGTGAAGGTAGCTCGATGCCGTGATTACAGAGTTCTTTTTAATTGACAAATTTGTAGAAAATATCAAGAAAATACAATTTTAGCGTGAATAACGAGGAGAATTCTTGAGATGCCCGATTCTTACACTTTGAAGGACCATGGCTTCCTTCAGACGCTACAATTTGGAAAGCTTTATGTATCTTCGTAAACTAGAAGACTTGCTATATTCAGCGGTTATTGAAAAACTTGATACGTTCAGTGTGTCCAAAATGGCCCCATCAAGAATTTTGGTCCGAGTGCCACCGAGAGATTCTCCTTCGTTGCGTTGTCACTCCTTCAGCAACCATAGCTTTTTTCATGGAAAAATTTGTACAAAAATGAGAACACCTCGGGAATTAACAAGCTTTTCGCTTTCTAATGAGTGTAAAAGTGAACGCAATGGTTCAACTTGCTTCCATTTATATGTTCATAAAGGTAGTGCTGACAATAGCATTTCTTCCTAAGTAGTGAATTCCTTCTTGTCGTTTTGAAGAGTCTCTCACGGGAACCTTTCTTGATGTCTCAAACTCATATCTCCACTATAGAGAGCGAATTTGGAGCGCATGGCATTCGTCGAACTCGCTAAGAGTTGTGCTGTGGGGTAACCAACAGTTAGCCCGGCGAGAGGTAGAGACGCAGACGGGTCAGCGGACGAGTCATAGCGCGTACTGTAGCAATTTAGCGTTGAGTAAATGTGCTACAGTACTTCCACATCGTTCAAACATCGTTGCACTCGTCCCGCTGAGACGTAGCATTCCGCATTTTTGCCACCTGACATCTCCTGTCGGATGCCCCTGCTACAGGAATTACAGAGCCAGTCGTCCGCTTTACTCAGATCCACACCCCAGAACAGTTGCTACTGCTATAGCGTTGCTGAGCTGCGCTCTTGCACTCCCACCCTCGTCTCATGAGGTCCTAATTGCGATCCCCCAGCCCTCGGTAAGGTGCCGCAACGCACGGTGACTCTGATTCGCGCCACTATCTCTTCGCAACTCCAGCGGGTTCCGGACCTGGATCCTCATGTTCCCCGGGTATTTTGTGTTTTGGGCGTTAACACCTCGCAATCATTTTTCACAAATCATCAAAAAAGTTACTGGTTTCAAAAAAAAAATGAAAACTCTGAATACGTAAATAAAAATCAATGATAATAATAATTAATCATATACCAAAAAAAATTGCTGGTTTCAAAAAAATTAAAAGCGTGAGTCATAATTAAAATAAATATTTAGAAGGACTTAATAAAATAGACTTACAAAAAGGTCGCAATTCGCTAATATGACAGGAGCATACTGACGTATAATTGCTGGATGAGCGACTTCGATGACCAAATCGATGTCCCTGAAAATGCGATCGATCGATAAAATGATCTACATATTATGGATCAATCGGACTGAAATCTTATCAAATCTAAGGAGAAAACGCGAAAATCACCTCAGTTGATCGTCATCGATTTCTTCCAACGGTAGCACATTCTTTGCAGGATTCGGTGTTCTATTCCAAATTCGGACAACCTCGAATCCATCAAGGCGATTCAGCTCAGTAACCAAAAATTCACCTGAAATCGCCCAGAGGGGATCAGGTTATAGCTTCATTTTTAATGAGAATATATTTGCAAAACCGATACGTCGAGTCTAAAGTAAATGCACCACCCCTTGTCAAGACATTCAAGTTATACGCTTGAGCTAGAAAGCTTTTTAGTCCCTTGGTCCCAGAAAAAAGAGGAATTGGGATCTACACACCCTACCCATGACCACTGGTTATAACGCTCGACGCCAACGCTCTGGCAGCTTATCAATCCCCACTCCCAGGAGGAAAGTGGAATTGGGCATCGAGGTAAAGCCGTCGGAGAAGTCACATGACCTCAATTCTCAACGCTAAAACTTCTTCCCGTGATAGGACTCGGCCGACAACAGATCAGGTTATGAGCTGTGCGTCAGGCTGGGTTTAGGTTCTGAGGTCGTGATCTGAAGCCAACACAGTCTCAATCGAACTTGGCCGACGGAGACGACCAACGCACTTGTACTACGATATGCCCACATCACCTCTGCAAAGGAGACCTGCCTGGGCCAAGAAGCAACGGTATGAGTGCAGGTGTCCTCAGGGTCTCTCCTAGTTTTCACCCTGCGACTCTGATTACGCAAGGTTGGGCCTACCTCTGAGCTCTAGATTCAGTTCACGAAAGCAAGGGGTTATTTTTTGCGCTACAAATAATTCCAGCTAACAACCCCAAAGTGGATAACAAGCGGCATAAGCCAAGGTTTCAACTAGAAACGACGTTAGCTTCTTCGATGAAAGCTCGCAATCAAATAGATCTATTGAGCTCACCTAAATGGCCATATCCAATAATTCCAACTCGTTTAGCCTGCATATGATAGGTGGATAAATAGGGAAATCTAGGAAAAAACGTGAGTTTAGGTTTAAGATTATTAAGTCTCCAAAAGGCATCAACGTTAAAAAACAACACCAACTATAATGAACGAGAAAATCGATCCATGAACATATCAAATTAGATCACTGGGTGGAAAACACAAATAATTCGGCTGGACAATTGAAGTTCTTATTATTATTTCTGGAAAATGCACATATTCTAGCTGTCTCCTTATCAGAGGTTACTCAAAGGCGGATAGATAAATTGGTTGCTTACTGGATGAAGATAGGACGACAATGATTTAGAAATGAAGAAACAACCAAAGATGAGGGCCTGGTACCCATGTTAAGACCCTATTCCATTCACCTCCTTAATTTCCTCGTTGAGATGAGGCTCATCGGTGCTGACGTCTTCAGCATGAACGCTCTTCGTTGTATCGCTGCTGAAGCTCAAGGCGATGGGGAGGTGATAGTCAATCTGCGGGCGTGGAGAGGGCGAGCGCCGCGAGTGCGGCCCTATTAGGCGCTAGGATCGTACCCTTCGCTGCAGAAGTGCACCCCACCGCACCAAGGAGCCGAGCGGACTTTCCAGTGATTATATTTCCCGTTTTCGACCCCTAGTTTATAATGGAGTCCCTTTAAAGAGCGGTGCATCTAGCACCACGTGCTGTTGAAAGAAATTAAGAAGCTTGAAGATAGCAGCACAAATTGTGCAGGGTGCGCCATGCATTTGACATCCTCCCTGTTTTTTCGAGCCACACTCACTGAAAAAAGATTTAAGCATAACATTCGGCGTAGATGGGTCAGTTCCGTATGCGCCAAACACTCGACTTCCATTCAGAATCGTAGGGCCAACGGGAAAATCGCAGGAAAAATGCGCCTTGTTCCATATACTGTGATTTATGGGAGGCAACCGCGGTGAGAATCAAAATCTCTGTCCCCCGTGGGAATTTGGTTTTGGACTATGGACCTATGAGGATGAAGGGTTTCGCTGCTCTCGGGATCCTTGGAGTTCTTGGAGTCAGGTCCCGATGTGGGTAAGTAGGTCTCATCAAAATTCTCTTCTTGCAGAAGAAAGCTTTCTCCCTATCTGAGCCTGATTCCCTTCGAAATCCCTGAACGGCAATTGGTTCTTCCACCACCCAGCTCAAAATGTCGCACAGTCGCTCGGAAACCAGCACAAATTGCTCAGAAAAAATAACTCGGCTCAATACGCCTTGAGGGGGGAGGCAGTCTAAATTAGGGTCACTGGGCTGAGCCCAACGGAGAGGGAGAAGTTCCTGAGAGAATTAAAATTGCTTACGCACCCTGAAGTCCCTCTTCTCCTCTGAGGCTTGGTCCTAAAACTGAGCGTTCCCGTGATGCCGGCGTAATGTGACTGTAACCCTCCCTACCCCTCCCCCCGAGGCGTATTGCGCCCAAGATTCATGGGACTTTTACAACTTTAAAGAAGTCACCTCTAAAATTGATCTGTCCGCAATCCACACGAATTATAACACGAAAATCCCCCACATTTGGCGTACTTTGCATCAAGGTGCAGATGCGGATGCAATGCAGACTTTGCACCAAACCATACGGCGTAAAATACCAATCAAAATCATCGATCACCATGTGACATTTATTTTTCCGTGATCATCGCCACTTGTACTTCTGCACATTCAGTTGCTCACATAGCGGAGAGCCAAAAATCAATATCAGGTAGGTTCTTGGTGCTATTAATTAGTGGTCGTTGCCGTATGGTACGGTGCGAAGTCTGCATTGCAGACGTACCTGACTTCCTGATACAAATAGCGCACAGCGAGGTAAATTGTTCATTTCTGCCCAGAACACCTTTTATAATATAGCACTAGTTAGAAACTAAAACTGTCTTAAATATTGAACAGAAGGAGAAACAAGGCATGCATTAGTGGGAAGGTTAGAACCGAACAAAATGTGGGTCGGCAATTCATTATTGACCGATACAGCTATTGATGTACAGAAGAAGCAAAAAAAAAAAGCGACAAAAAACGCTGGCCAGACAATATGTCGACTGGAAAATGCGACCTTGGCTGACCAAAAATGGCCACACACTGATGGCGATCGGCGCTGATCGATCGATCTATAGCGTTGGAAACTTATGCTCGTGAACCCGCATCGGATTAGCGGTGAATAGAGAAATTAATGAGTAGAATTTTTAGAACTTCAAAATCAAGGACCCATTTCTTATTGCAATACAAGTGGGATGGGTAAGCCGAATTTTCTGCATACGGTAGGAACGAGATGTATGTAAGTGGGGACTGCTCCCGTTACTATGAGGTATAGCATACATTATGAGGGTGCTGCAGCCATTCAGCTTTTCATCATCGTTAAGTGACTACTGCTGATCCATACCCCCTCAGGGGCGGTTATTAATCCTTCCCCCAGGGGGATATATCCCCCTCCTCTGATTCAATCCTCTGAGGGACAAAAAAGGGTTGCGTCATAGGACCTAGCATACCTCTGTGTTTCTACCTGCCAGACAGTTAGAGCAGCGCGGGCCCTCAGGCAAAAGAGTGCTTCATCAGTGGAGGGCAGTCGCGCTGCTCTAACTGTCTGGCAGGTAAGAACACAGAGGAATGCTAGGTCCTATGACGCAAAAAAAAAAAAAAAAAAAAAAAAAAAATAAAAAAAACCCTTTTTTGTCCCCCCAGGAATTGAAGAGGATTGAATCAGAGTTGGGGGATATATCCCCCTGGGGGAAGGATTGAATACCGCCCCTGTTGTACACTCCCCCTTGGCTCACGAATTCCCTCAATTCTCGTGGCACCATAGTAGCGCGCACCAGTCCCCACTTACATACATTTCGCGCCTACCGTATTCGAAAAATTACAGCGCGCACAGCCTACTTGTACTGCACCATTTCCTTTTCATAAGCGAAAAGTGAGATGCGAAGTTATGCATAACACGGCGGATTAGCGACGATTTAAAGGGAAGGATACGCCGAGGGAATCGTGGGAGGGTTGTACTACCTAGACCATCGTAGCTTGATGCTCGCAAAAACTGCGCCGGTAGGGCGCTAATTCTTCCGGGCCTGCACCCATCGACCCCCGCTGCAACGCTCCCCACCCACCATGGTTTTTGTAGAGATTAGTGTGCTCTTTAGAACAAGGTGCTCTCTCGCGTGGTTTGTCTTTTTGATCGCCCTGTGTCGACATTGTACCTTATCCGACCTTATTGAAAGGTTATTCCCTTAATTTCAGCGTTCCCAAAGAGTTCTCTTGCTCTTTTTACACGGCGGTCGTGGTCCGCTGAATCAGCCAACACTACTTTAGCGCTCTCATCGCCAGTTCCCAGTATTCCAGGGCTTGCATTCAAACTGAGTCATACCGGTGGGAAGCTTTGATAATAAAGCTCCGAATCATTTTAGAATGCGCATACACACTTATTCTATTCAAAATCGTGGTAATGAATGTGGTCCACATATAAAATGAATAGCTAAATTGCTAAGGTTAACTAATTTACAAACCAGCGTTTTTTATTCTCCCAGAAAAGAATCACACCGATTTAGATGGAAGGGTTGGCTGATTTGTGCGAGATTCGATCCGAGGTCTGAGCCCTTGAGCGCGCAATTAGCCGGGGATGTGAAAATTTTCGGCGCGAGCCGCCTTTAGTTTTGTAAGTTTTCAAAGGAGCTGCTGTTGCATGCCTTGAGGTGTGAGGACGAGTTAACCCTGCTTCCAGCGAAGATAATCATTCTTATATACGAGCACTACTATGCCCCTATACGCTGTTTTCAATTCATGTACCCTTTCAAGTGCACCCACAATTCTAAACAAGAGTCCTATGCATGGCGTATTGGCAGTCACTAAATCCTATCAAGTTTCAATATTTGAAACGCACTAATCCGCTTCATAACGTGGTTACCTCTACTCCCACCCAGTTTCCAAAAAAATTCTTATAAAAGCATTTCGGCGTCGGACCGTCATTCTCTCTTCAGATGCGCATGGACTAAAGTCCTTAGAGACCTTGTTTGTATCATTTGAACACGATTCGCGCTAGTCTGTACATCTTCTTGCCAAACCCAGGTGATGTGAAAGTCGGTTTTAATCCTTTTAGCTCCTGGCAGGCGACTTCAGCAATATGGGTTGACCTGGACACAAGTAGACACAGGGAGGAAACTTTCTATCAGATCGTTTTTCCACCAACTCACCATATTCTTTGAATTTTAGCTTCAAATATCACAGTTCAAAAGTGGCGAACTCGACCTTAAGATTGAGAATAATTCGAAGCACCATCGATTGATAATCACTTTTTATCCGCAACCTTCACTTCATTTTATAAAATGATCAATAAAACACGGATAGGGACAACGCTTGCACAAACGAATGGAAGACGTCTAAGCCATGAGAGGAGGAGGAGTCGTCAAACTCGCCATGTACTGCTGCATTGCTTCGACCTGAAAAGTTTTCTTTTAAGACCGTCAACGGGCATTGCTAAGCATTTGTTATACACACAATTCTAAACATTGATCGCTTCTTCTTTAGGTGTCGTGTGTAATCAAGGTGGACTTAAAGGCACGTTCCACAACTAAATGTGGGAATGAGACTTCTGAGCAAGAAAGGTTTAATGTTCTCCAGGAGCACAAAACCGCAAGGCCTACCCTTCTCACCCTTGACCCCACTCAGGTATAAATCGTTAGCATCTGAGCGTTCTCTTTCGTCGTCTAGTTGCTCTCTCGTATCAGTCTCATTGACACCTGCTCTGTTTTTGCTACGGACTGATCTGCAAGAATGTCTGCCCGAGTACCCCTCCGCATACACGAGTGCGTTTAGATGCCTCTACGGTCTCAAGTGCAATACAAGTGCGTGGCGCAATCCTGAAAAAATATCGAACAATGAATGTTGATTGATGAATCAAGGCACTGAAACGGATAAAATGAGGGAGTTACCTGTTTAAATATAAAGTACGAGTGCTAAGAGGATCCAACTCACAGAAAAATACCAGGAAATACCCAGTTAAGTCCAAACTTAGACTTTCTTCTGTGTTAATTACTTATAAACAGGGCCGGTAGATTGAGTATCTAGAAGTTTTGAAAGCTAGAGTCCATGCAACAACCAACCGACACAAAAATCAGAATAAAATTGATTTTTTCAATTTTTATTCTTGGGTGTTCTCTGTGCGTTTTTGCGTTGCTTCCTATGTTGAAAAATTTGATTCATTGGATTGATGGCATTTAGGTGTCGACAATGCGTGGTACATGGGCTTGTAATTCCAGTTGAATGCGCTGAATATTCCCTCCATCCCTTCAAACAACAGTTAGATAGCTTAGTGTCCAGGAGTTGTGTATGGAGTGGTTTCACGTGAAAGGATGGGCGGGTCAGCGGGTAGTTGGGACAGTGCCACATCTTCGTTCTTGCCTTCAGAGTCAGCCTTATCAAACCACACTGCCACTTCTACACATGCTCCACACTTGCGTACTATTGCATATTTGAAGTTGAAGAGCTATATTTTTTAAATAACCCCGAATTTGCCTTTGAGTTTTCTTTTTTCGAAAAGGAGCGGTTGGCATTGGAGAATACTGTCGATTCAGTGCTTTTTCTAGATTGAGCCAAATGCAAATCCGTTCGAAGGAAGCATTACGTGGTAAAATTAGTTTAGGACATTATTTCGGTGCTAACTATACGTTAGGCCGATGTCAGACTTTGCGAATCGCGCGATTCGCTAGCGTCTGCGGTCGCGTCGCGGCCAGTGAATCACTCAATTGGCTGGTACCGCAACGCGACCGCGGACGCTAGCGAATCGCGCGATTCGCAAAGTCTGACATCGGCCTATTGGGCGGACACGCGGCGGCGCGGCGCTTTGCTCGCCTGGCGCTCTCTCGAGCGAGATAGTGTGAACTCGAACATTCCAGCTTTTCACGCATGTCAAGTGACTGCCCTCACCCCCCCCCCTAGACTGCCTACAGTCCCCCTGGCTCACGGATTTCCCGAAGTACGCAAAGATGCCAGGCGAGCAAAGCGCCGCGCCGCCGCGTGGTCCCCCCCCCAACTAAGTTAGCACCATTTTTCTTGTCCATAAATTTGTATTGTCGTGAGCCAGGTAGTCCTGGTAAGTTACAGTTAACGCCCTTAAGATGTATCATTTTGTCAACCAACCTTCATAATATCCAGATCGTTGGGCGCACTGACCACGAACTCAGCGAATTGTTTGAGTTGAGGACCTGAATTTGTTTTTTTACTAGTGAAAGGTGGTGGTGACTAGGTTAAAATAATGGCTACAACTTACATTCTTGCCACAATTTTGCAAACTCAGGAAATTGCTGCTTGAGACTGTCCAAAGCCGCGGGAGAGAGTTTCTGTAAAAGTGATCATTTAATGGACAGGGCATTTTCCGGCACAGCTTCAAATAAAGAGGAAAAATAAAAATATGAGCCGATTTTGACCTTATTACTCAACAATTTGCTGCACGTGAACCCTAGCCAGGAGAAAAAGCTACTTGAAATCTCACGATGGGGAGAATGAGACGCGCAAATACTCGCCCACACCTCAGTGTTCGGTCCCCGCCGCGCAAAGAAAATCCTTTAGCACGGTGTTCAGTGGAGGGTAAAGACAAATTTGCCCAAATTTCTGGTAAATCGCAGGGAACGATTGACAAAAGGGACCATTCGGGTGATGATTATAGGAAAAAGCTAGTGCTATTGTAGAGTCGAGCGACGTTTTTGACCGAGATGCTCTCTAGCAGTCACGATTTCTGAGTAAATCGACTCACCATCGCCTCAGTGAAGAATCCCTTGTTGAAGTCAAAGGACAACTGAAAAGCGTTGCCCATGGGCATAGATTTGATCACATTAGCCCATTTATCCAGCCACTGAAAAACGAATCTCTATTCGTGTGATAGGAAAAGGATATTAGCTTAAAATAAACCAAACTCATATGTATTACAAAACCACGAACGGACTTACATTGGCATTCTCGCAGCCACTTCAGCTACAGATGAAAGCGCCTGCGTTATGCTTTACCACACCTCGGTATTCAAGTCTATAGATCAATGGGGTTTCACGTAATTCCCTCACAAAACACCAAGAGATAGCAAAAAGGACTTTAGCGCTAGCGAAACAACTCGGCTGGAGGTCGGCAGCTAGGCATGTTCACTTGGCTGCATTGGATACGGACAAGTGTGCGTCTTGGGGAGATAAGCCGTTTAGACAGAGTGAGCACCCGAAGTAAGGCGTGAATTACGACGTTCCTGCCGTAGTCACGTACAATGCGCGTCGCATCGACGCGATTTCCGCAATGACAATCCTATAGGTGAGGCTTATGCTCATAATGAGGCTACCCCCGCTGGGCAGCAACCCAAAAATGGATGAGCGTCTCAGTATAGTGGGCGGGTTGGCTCGACATATTCTCTCTCCTTTGAGAGAGCGCAGAGAAAACGAATAGTGGGAGGCGAGCACGCACTTCAGCGCGTCAATGCGTCGCGCATTGTACGTGACTACAGCAGAACATTATAATTCACGCTTTACTTCGGGTGCTCGCTGTGTCGTTCGTTCGCACTTGTCCAACTCCACTTGCGATCGCCCTCCCCCTTTCGGGGGTCTTGATGGGACCCCCACTACCAACATCAGTTCTAGCCTCCTACGACACATCTCCTTCCTACCCCAATATGACACCCCTCCTTCCTACCCCGATCACCACTTTCACCATCATGGTCCTCGACTAGTGACCCATCCAACTCCGCCCACTTTTTCCTCCAAAGCAGCCGTTGAATGGAGGAGGGTAAACTGGTATAAACTTAAGCAGCATATAAAGTAATTTCATCTAGTTTACCTTGATTTCGTGAACGTTCTCCAAGGTGGTCGAAAAACCCGTCAAATCCCGTCAAAACCACCACCTTTTACGAACCCCGTTCAGGCTTCCCAGACGTAGTTAACCTTGCCCAACCCCAAAATGCGACCTCCCCTCCCCTTCCTAGAATCACAAACGCGACCCCTGGTTTGATTACTGCCAGCCGACTGTTGACCCTGCTGGGCGTGAGCTAGCCATAGAAAACCTGCCAATCACTTTTACCGGATGGGGATTTAGCTAACGAGGTGACAAACCAACCTTCAGTACGAACGCTTTTGCTTCAGGATTTAGGGCGTTCACCTTGCCCATGAGAGCGATGTACATGCCCAATCCTTTCTGGTAGACAAGAGGTGCTTTCTGAATAACTCTGATATTAAAAAATGTTTCCTTGTAAGTTTCGCTGTTGTTTAAAAAATCACCAACTTGTTGTATGAGTTGAATGAATTGTTGGAAATTGTCCACAGTTACATTTGCAAATTTCCCCGCCATTAAATCGTTGACAAAATCGACAAATTGTTGTTTTTCCGCTGCCGTTGCGCTA